TGAGTGAGGGTCGCAAGTTTACGTTTTAGAATCACATCTGTAGGACAAATTAAATCCTACAGCGACTTCATTGATTTGTGCCATGTTTTGGTCTGGCCCCTCCTAGCTTTCTTCCAACCTACTCCTACACCACAAAACATAGGTCGTCGGGGCAGTCGGCGGTTGGACATACGCAACACATGTCCCAATCACCTCAACTGATGAAGTTTCAATGCTTCATCCATTGATTTGCCATCCTTACCTAGAACTCGCTTCCTAACGATAGCATTGCTTACTCAGTCGTCCCGTGATACACGAGCAATGCTTCGGAGACACCGATGATCGAAGACTAGTAACCTACGAAAGTCCTCTACTCTTAAAGGCCATGTTTCACAGCCATAAAGTAAGACGGAGCGAACTACTGCACAGTACACTCCCCTTTGGTTAGCAGACGGATATCTCGCCTGCGCCATAGGTGACGCAGGTTGGCAAAAGCCAATCGAGCCTTCTGTATCCGTGCTGAGATTTCGTCAGTCACCAGGTCATCAGCACTGATGAGACTCCCCAGATACGTGAGGCGGTCGACACGTTCGACTACTTTACTCCCTATCACTAGTTCAGGTGCCGATGCAGTCCAATCCTGATGCAACATTTTGCAATTCGACGGGGAGAAAAAAACAAACTAGGATAAACAAAACAATTTATACTGATTTGTTTGTCTCAGTTGTAGTCAGAAATTGATAATTTAAGGATAAACTTTGATAGTCAACTGTATTATTAGAATGTGAAGGCAATAAAGTGTTTTACATCAGGTAATTAACATTGGCAATGATGTCGCTTTTGTATGATGTAACGGAGTTAGAGATGATTGACTTTAAAGATAGAACAAGTTACCATGTCCAACGGATTGCTGTACGCAAATTGACAAGCTAAAAAAAACTACTCAGGAAACAATGTAACTGACTTAGATCAGTTGTTCGCTTTTGAGCCACAGTTAAGCTCGATGGTCGTCAAAACAGACAATCAGTAACTTATTCTCTTTTTCAAATACACCATCTGTCAGTCAGTCATAATGTAGCTGCTACATTGATTTGGTGGTCAAACTTGCCTATCTTCATGACCCGACCAAGCTATATTGGCTGGAACATATATTCCTGTAGGTTCTACCATGCCAGGCAGGTCAATTGGAGAACGATGAGACCAGAAGCAGTAACTTCAGGCCTGAGTGTGAAGTTGTACTGCTGACTGTAGAAAGCTGTGACAGCAGCAGTGAAGCCTTCTCGCAAAGGAAGCAACAGGCTGGAAAAGGTCGACTTTGAAAATGCCACACTCCGCCTGATCTCACAGATTTCCATCTCCGGTGGTAAGGTCATTTACAAAGGCCATGCATGACCGGCCTGGAGCCGTTGTCCCTTGAGCTCGTGGTCATGCTCCCTGGCACCTAAGACCAATTCCTAATCCAACTCATTTTCTAGGTTCCTCCGGGAATACCTTTTCACGGTGTGGACAGCCGGGAAGTGTCACACACCCCCATACTTATAAACACACACGAGAACAGTTTGATACATAAACATCTCAACAATTCTAATCATTATTAACACTATTTATAATTATAAATTCATGAGTAATATCTTTTTCTTGCCATGAAATGAATTTATTTCTTACTTATTTTATGCTGTTCATAGATTTACTATTTACATCAAAAGGAATTCAATCAATCAATCAATAGCAACGTAAAACTAGGTACATAAGTTTATGTTGCCACATACCACATTAGCACAGAGAGATTGAATTGTCAATTCAAACCACATAGTAGTAGAGGTAGTAAAGGTATTAGAAGTAATCGAAGAGGTTAGGATTAGGATTAGAAGATATTATTCAAGAAGTAGAATCTAGTGAAATAAACTTTAAAAGATAAAGTGATGAGGAATTAAAAAGTTCAGGATTTAAGAGAACACAATGAATGAATGCACCTAAGCCTGTAGACAATTTGGTGCTACTGCTGGTCCTAAGACCCGGTAAACGAGGAGGATTAAGATGTGGGTTGGCGAACCCATCCCGGAAAAAAACTAACTTGCTAAAAAAACACTAACCAGGAAAAATAATTCAAACCATATAAACTCTACTCTGGGAGTTAGAAGGTCTTTATTTAGACAGATAGATACAACACAGAACTTCGTACGTAAGTACATCAGTTCAGGTTGCCATTCCCCATCAACACAGAGACGCAACTGTCAGTTTAACTCCAACAGTGATAGCAATAATAGAATTATTAGCAGTAATGGAGAAGATTATGGAGCGAAGAAGGTCTTTATTTACAAGAATTATGACGTCTCATGATGAAAGTTGGGGTTCCTTAGGAAGTCTTGAGGCCGATGTCCATTCTGACAACCAGAACCCTTCTATGGTGTGGGCAGCTAGGAAGTGACATCCACCGTCATACTCATAAAAGCGTACGAGACCAAATTGGTCACAATCAAATCCATTCTACACCTCCTGATACGCAATTCAGGTTAGAATTTCAGAGAACACAAAGAATGGATGCACGTGCGTCATTTCAAACAATTCGGACCCATGTCATTCTAAGTCTTTAACCATCGATTACTATCATCTCGCGGACCTCAACCTAATAGTCTACAATTACCAACCAGGCTCAGTCCATTTGTTGGTGACTTTATCGATTTGTGCCATGTTTCGGTTTGGCCGCCTTCAGAGCTTTCTTCCAACCAACTCCGCTACACCACAAAACATCGCCGCTAAGGTCAAACCAGAAATAAGAAGTGAATTTTTCATACCTCCATCATTATCAGTTTAGCTACCAAACAAACAAAACAACCCCACTGCCTACTGATTTTTTCAAAATCAATACAGTACACGCATGGATATTTCAAATCGCGCACTGCTTTTTCAGTAAAACCAAAAACAAGAAAATTGAAAAAAAGGGAATAAAGAAACAGAAAACAAATTACCGATTGTAAACTTACTCATATTGAAATTTGTTTGATCCGGTAGAAAATCAATACTTTCCGAACCATTATTACTATTATTAATATTGTTACCGACTGCAGAAATATTGAACAGCTGATTCGATTTACTAATCTGTGTTGTAACACCACACCATGATGCTGTTGACGTAGTTGATGATGATGATGATGGTAACACAGAAGAAGTGGACGATGACGTTGATGCTGATGAGACGATTGAATTGAATCCTTTACCATTGCCAATAGGATTAGTGATTCCTGTGATACAATTAGGAATTATTTGTTGTTGTTGTTGTACAGTGGACATCATAGTTTGTTGACCTACGCCAACACCACTATTACTACTAGTATGATTATTATTATTATTACTACCTAATAATAAAGTTGATGAGGATGGCGTAATAGTAGTAGTATTCGTATTATGAGTAGTATTTAATGCTTGACAAATGGATGCAGACGATGAAGCGGACATGGTTGTAATTTGACGTAACATACCAGCTTGACTACGTACATGTTTTAATTGTGCTTGTTGCGCATCGATCTGTTGACTCACTTGAAATGCTTGCAATTGTAATTCATGTATAACAGGATTTGTGGCGAATGGAACATTCGTCGCTGAACGGATATGTGAAAGTTTTTGATTTAAATCCTGTTTTGTTTTGTGTTTTTGGTAAAAAAAGAAAGATTAAAGCATAATTTTACTTGGTATTACGTCATCATTGTAAATTAACGATAAGCATCACAACATTTCGAATGTTTCATTTGTGAACAATACTAAAATGGCGCCTAACCAACATCAACCTCTCTCCCTTTCTCTCATGCGCTCTTTCAACTACTAGTTACGATTACAACAGTGTGGATCTCAAATAAGGCAGTAGTTTATAATACTTCCTGAAATGATTTCAGCTTTACACGTCGACAAACATAGCTTACTGTAACCTGTACATAGTGACTGGTGACAAGTAGGAATACATGTATGTTCTAAACACCGTGTGAGGTGGTGTGTCGGTTGCTTCTTCGTGGTGATAGAATTCTATCGAACTGACACCCATATGACATTGATCACATCACCCAGTGAGTGATGACTAACCAATCTTAAACAGATCTCTCTCCTACAAGATGTCAGTCGTGGCTGGTACAGCTCAGTCTCTGACTGTGACACTGAGTCAAATGCACCAAACAGTATCTGTTATAAAGCTCTCTTTGGTAAACACCAGCTATTCCTATTGCTTAGTATTGTCTGACAACAATTCACTCGACAAGTCTCCAAATCAGAACACGGTGTGGAACAGGAAGAAGATTATATTCCAAAAATAGCAAAGTTAAATGGAAGTAACAAGCCGAAGCGAAGGCGAAATAGCAACAACGTTAGTCTCTTCATAGTTTTTACATGAGAAGCTTCTAGAATAAATTCCAAGTGTCGACTAGAGCTGATTGGATAAGAATTAACCAATCAACGCGCAGCTAACCATCTGTCCCGTTAAACAGTATCAATTTCCTGACGAGTACCAGCAAGCCCGAAAACTAGGTGCCCTCTAACACTCTGACCACCAGCTGACAACTAACCTTCAGATTGTGTACACCATAGTCTACAAAAATACAAGATCAATACTGTTGACCTTCACAATCACAATATGACAATAGTAATACTAATAATAATAATTACAAACATAAGAAAAACCCAATAATAACTGTAATCAACTGTAACCGAGCAAAAAAAAACTGAATCATCACAAAAGAAAAAAAATGATCAGTTGAAACCGAAAATTTGAACGACAAAAATAAAAAAAACCCCAAATAAGTCAAAATTTTACTCTTTACACACACAACACATACAGGATCAAGTTTAAAAAGGAATTACACACACACACTCCTCTATATTGAAATCAACGTAAGAACGAATAACCAAACCCTAAACATGTAACAGATAGTAGGTAGTATCAATAAGAAAAAAAAACAAGTTAAACAATAAAGGAGGAATATGAGATTGAACAAATCAGTCGAGTAGATCATCATACACACACACACACATACACAAAACAACAGCAACAACATCAACAAATCAAACTTAGATTTGGAATTTTTAGGGAAAAAAATTCAACATGAACAGTGAATAACAAACACAAATAAATAACCGGTTTTAGACCAGTTTACTCTCTGGTGGTAAGGCTATTTAGAGAACAGAGCTAAAACTTTAAAAACTTCTCATAAAAGGCCGAACGTGACCGGTCTCAAGCAATTGTTCTTTAAGCTCCGTAGTTACGCTCCCAAGTCTCTAAGATTATCCAACTTCCTTTTCAGGTCCGTCAAGATACACATTGTTACTGTTACGGGTATAAGGGCGGTTGTCACTTCTTCCCGGCTGCCCACACTGTGGAAGGTTGTTTCTTGAGGGACCTGAAAAAGAAGGTAGACTAGTGTCGGTCTTAGAGACCTGGGTGCGCGACCGCAGAGCCCAAGGGTCAACTGCCTCAGGCCGATCACGCACGGCCTTTTTATGAAGGGTTTTTTGAGTATTAGCTCCGCTCTTAAAAGCCCTTAGTGGGCACCCTTACCGACGGAGACGGAAATCCGTGAATAAGGGTGAGTTGTGTCATTTTTAGGGTCGACCTTTTCTAACCCCAACCGTCCTTGTGAGAAGGCAGCATCGTTGCAGATGCTGGTTGTCCGAAGGAAACACCTTACTGCTGTCACACCCCTCTACAGTCAGCAGTACGACTTCGCCCTCAGACCTTGAGCATCTGTTTTTAGTTTCATCGTTCTCCAATCGACCTGCCTTGCATGGTAGAACCTTCAGGAACATATGTTCCAGCCAGTATAGCTCGGTTATGTGATCGATCACAATAGGCAAGCCTGACCACCACGTGAAGGTAGAAGCTTCGGTCGGGCAAGAAACACCCTTCCACGGTGTGGGTAGCCGGGAAGTGACATCCGCCCTCATAGTCGTGTAACAGCACGCGAGACCGAATCGGTCACAACCCAATCCTTCCTAATATCTTTCTCTTTTTAAATTTATTTCACTAGGTTATACTCCTTGAATAACATCTTGAAACCCTAATCTTCTCCATTACTGCTCATACTTCTACTGCTATGGGATTTCAATTGGCAGTTGTAACTCTGTGTGCTAATCTGGTATAGTAACTTGAACTGATGTAGGTACGTGTCCATACGAAGTTCTACGTTGTAAACTGACTGACTGACATTCATTGATATCTAGACATGCGTAACAGATATTCTACACAGTTAGGGCGGATTTATATATTCAAGTTTACATGGGTTTCAACCGAAGTGAATTCGAGTTTAACAAAACAGCAACTGAATAGTAGTCTCCTAACAATTACATCAATGTTGTAGTAAATAAGAAGATCTCTGTGGTCAAAATAGACTCTTAGGAGGAATGGTAAACAAACATAGTTAATAAACTTCATAACTAATATAACACAACTTACAGTAAAGTAAATAAGTAAGTAAGTAAGTACGTTAAGTGTAATTGCATGTCATGAAATATTTTCTCATTTATAAATACTAGAAATTTAAGTAAATAAACAGAAGGAAGGAATTTTAAGCATTCAAATGATGAATGAAACGTTTTCTCTCTCAATTCAAACACTAAAAATACAAATCATCACAACTGATCAATGTGTTGAATCATCATTGATTGGAGGCCGTTACATGCGTTACAGGTGCAATACGATCACAAGTCCTTTGTGTGTGTGGACTTCCGTCTTATATTCAAGGACAGTGTAGTGAAGGAAAACACAGGTGAGGGCAACCGAATTGTATTTATCGAAAATTACTGAGTTACTCAGTAAACTAGGAAAACCATATCGTAACCGTTAATTTGCAAATCTTCAATCCATCATCAATCTATTGTCTGACATTTCACCACTATTCATGCGTTTCATACAAATCCCATTGTGTTCCCACTCTTCCTTTCTTGATCTTCACCAACCATCTTCTGCTGCTAGACATTACGTTTACACTCGCGTCATATACTACTTATAAGTAGCGGGCACTACAACAGGACAGTCAATTGAATGAATGAATGAATGAATGAATACACTCTCCAATTTCTTCAATGATGATCCTTTACACATGGATCGATTTGGATGGTTTGTATTTTTATGTACAAAATCACAGAAAAACTCAACTTAACTCTCACTCTTTCACCTTCACTCACTTACTTGATGCTTTGAATGTAATTGTACAATAGTTTGTAATATTTGTGTTTCACGTTGTTGTAATAATTGTAATGATAATTCTAAATTTTCTGTTGGTTGACTAGGATGATTATTCATCATTGGTATAAGATTGGATTTGATCATCTATGAATAAATATAAATCAATAAAATCAAAGGTTTACAAAATGACTATCATTAATTAATTAATTAACTAAAATGTTATGATACATGGATCAGTTAACTTTGATATGCAGGAAATTATAGATTGATTTTTCTCAACTGAGCAAGTCAAATAACTCCGCCAGTAGAACCTTAGGGGCTACTGCCGGTCCCAAGCCCGGATAAAGGAGGAGGTTTGGACATGGGGTTGGCGGCCCCATTCCGTTGAAATCTCACTTGCCAAAAAAAACGCTAACCAGAAAAAATAATTCAAACCATTTTAACTCTGCCCTGGGAGTTGGAAGAAGAATTATGACGTCTCGTGATGAAAGCCGAGTCCCCTCGGAAGTCACGGGGCCGATGCCTCTTCTGACAACCAGAGCAACCATTTTTTTAGGTACATGGAACGTTCGTACATTGTGGGAGACTGGAAGACTATTTCAAGTTGCGGCAGAAATGAAAAGATACAACCTCGAGGTGCTCGGCATCAGTGAAACACATTGGACACAGGTAGGACAACTGAGACTTGCTTCAGGGGAACTGCTGTTATACTCTGGTCATGAAGAGGAAAACGCTTCACATACACAAGGAGTTGCACTGATGCTGTCCAAACATGCACAAAAGGCACTGATAGGATGGGAATCTCATGGACCCAGGATCATTAAAGCATCCTTCAAAACAAAGAAACAGGACATTACAATGAACGTATTCCAATGTTATGCACCTACCAATGACTACAATGACGACGTTAAAGATCAATTCTACGAAAGGCTGCAGTCAGTCGTCGATAAATGTTCACCAAAGGATTTGACGATTCTTATAGGAGACCTGAATGCCAAGGTTGGAATGGACAACACTGGATATGAAGACATCATGGGACGACATGGACTGGGAGAAAGGAACGAAAACGGTGAGAGATTTGCAAACCTATGTGCCTTCAACAAACTGGTCATCGGTGGCACAATATTCCCGCACAAACGCATTCACAAAGCCACATGGATTTCACCGGACCACACTACTCAAAACCAAATTGACCATATCTGTATCAACAAAAAGTTCAGAAGGACCATGGAGGATGTGAGAACCAAGAGAGGAGCTGATATAGCTTCAGATCACCACTTGCTGATCGCCAAAATGAGATTGAAGCTAAAGAAGCACTGGACAGCGGGGCAGACAACATCACAGAAGTTTAATACGGCCTTTCTTCGGGATACCGTAAAACTCAACGAATTCAAGATAGCCCTCACCAATAGGTTCCAGGCCTTTCAGGATCTACTCAATGGAGAGGACGCAACATTGGAGAACAGTTGGAAAGGGATTAAGGAGGCAATCACTTCAACATGTCAGGAGGTCCTTGGTCGCAAGAAGCACCATCACAAGGAATGGATCTCTGTTGGTACTCTTGAAAAAATTCAAGAAAGGAGGAACAAGAAGGCAGCTATCAATGTCTGCCGAACAAGAGCAGAGAAAGTTAAGGCGCAAGCCGAGTATACAGAAGCAAACAGGGAAGTGAAGAAGAGCATCAGAGCTGACAAACGAAAATATGTGGATTATCTAGCAATGACGGCGGAAAAGGCTGCAAGAGAAGGAAACTTGAGACAATTGTACGAAACTACAAAGAAGCTCGCCGGAAACTATCGTAAACCAGAACGACCAGTGAAAAGCAAGGAAGGGAAAATAATCAGCAACACTGACGAACAGCGAAATAGGTGGGTGGAGCACTTTAAGGAACTATTGAATCGACCAGCTCCACTGAACCCACCCAACATCGAAGCAGCATCCACGGACCTCCCAATTAATATTGGCGCACCTACGATTGAGGAGATCAGTATAGCCATCAGACAAATCAAGAGCGGCAAAGCAGCAGGACCAGACAACATTCCAGCAGAGGCAATGAAAGCAGATGTGGAAGCAACTGCGAAAATATTTCACATTCTCTTCAAGAAGATTTGGGATGAGGAACAAGTACCATCAGATTGGAAAGAAGGATACCTCATCAAAATACCAAAGAAAGGCGATCTCAGCAAGTGTGAAAACTACAGAGGCATCACTCTTCTTTCAATACCAGGCAAAGTCTTCAACAGAGTATTGTTAAACAGAATGAAGGACTTCGTAGACGCCCAACTTCGAGATCAACAGGCCGGATTTCGTAAGGATCGATCGTGTACTGACCAAATTGCTACATTACGGATCATTGTGGAACAATCAATAGAATGCAATTCACCACTCTACATCAACTTCATCGACTACGAGAAAGCATTCGATAGCGTGGATAGAAAAAACACTGTGGAGGCTTCTTCGACACTACGGTGTGCCTGAGAAAATAGTTAGCATTATACGGAATTCTTATGATGGATTCAACTGCAAAATTGTACACGGAGGTCAGCTGGCAGACTCTTTCGGTGTCAGGCAAGGTTGGCTACTCTCACCCTTTCTCTTTCTCTTGGTCATCGACTGGATTATGAAGACGTCGACTTCTGGAGGGAAGCACGGTATCAACTGGACAGTTAGGACGCAGCTGGACGATCTGGACTTCGCAGATGACCTGGCTCTTCTATCGCACACTCAACAACAAATGCAAGAGAAGACGACGAGTGTAGCAGCAGCCTCTGCAGCAGTAGGTCTCAACATACATAAAGGAAAAAGCAAAATTCTCCGATGCAACACAACATGCACCAACCGAATCACGCTTGATGGAGATACCTTGGAAGACGTTAACACCTTCACATATCTTGGCAGCATCATCGACGAGAAAGGTGGATCGGACGCAGATGTGAGGGCGCGGATTGGCAAAGCAAGGGCTGCATTTCTACAGTTGAAAAATATCTGGAACTCCAAACAACTTTCAAACAAAACCAAAATCAGGATCTTCAATACAAATGTCAAGACAGTTCTACTGTATGGAGCGGAAACATGGAGAACTACCAAAGCCATCATCCAGAAGATACAAGTGTTTATTAACAGTTGTCTACGCAAAATACTTCGTATTCGTTGGCCAGACACCATCAGCAACAACGAACTGTGGGAGAGAACAAACCAGATTCCAATGGAGGAGGAAATCAGGAAGAAGCGGTGGAAATGGATAGGACATACACTACGAAAAGCACCCAACTGCGTCACTAGACAAGCCCTCACATGGAACCCTCAAGGCAAAAGGAAAAGAGGAAGGCCAAGGAACACACTACGCCGAGAAATAGAGAAAGATATGAGAGGAATGAACAAACATTGGACAGAACTGGAGAGGGAAGCCCAGGACAGAGTTGGTTGGAGAAAACTGGTGGGCGGCCTATGCTCCATTGGGGGTAACAGGCGAAAGTAAGTAAGTAAGAGCAAGTCAAATAGCTAAAACGTATAACTTCGTACGTAAGTACATCAGTTCATGTTGCCACACCACATCAGCACAGAGACGCAAATGTCAATTCAAATCCAACAGTAGAAGAGGTAGTAAAGGTTTTACAAGTAATCGGAGAGGTTAGGTTTACAAGATATCATTCAATAGCTATAATTCAGTGAAATAAATTTAGAAAGAGAAAGACAGAGGTGTTGAGGAATCCAGAAGATTAAGATTTGAGAGAACACAAAGAATAAATACACCTGCGCCATTACAAACGGTTTTGAGCCATGTCATTCCGGGTATCTAATCATCGATAATTATTATCTCGCGGACCCCAACCAGGTAGTCGACAACTACCGACATGACTCAGTCCACTTGTCAGTGACTTAATGGATTTCTGCCATGTTTTGGTTTGGCCAACCCTAGATTTCTTTCAACCTATTCCTACATCACAAAACATAGCTCGTTGAGGCAGTCTGTGGATGGGCATTTGTAATACATGTCCCGACTATCTCAATGGATGGAGATTTACTGCTGCATTAATTGATCTACCATCCGTCGTTTATTTATTCTTGTTATTACTCTGATTGCACTCTGATTATTTTCCCCGATTTTACATCTTCCGTCAGTAAGAATTTTACTATCAATTCCAATTATACACTAGTTATATCTATTCGTATAAATAGTACTAGACGGTATCAATGAAAGTAAATGAAGCAAAACTTGGAGTTTTCATAGTTTATTGAATGAAAGTTGAACACTTAAACTATGAACTGCTGTTGATCAACAATGAATTACGAATCACGAACCACGCTGGCGGTGACCGAACTCCGATTCTTCAGTCTCGTGAGCAAACGCATAGCCTCTAGACACTGAACCGGTTATTTAACGGTGTTAATGTCTAACTCTGATCATCTAGGGATTTCGATTGACCTTGTCCATTTGTCTTCCGTAGTTACAGACTACAACCGACAAGGTTGAATTCCACTAGTCACAGCTTCTCAAAAGAACTTCGAGAATTTCTACATGAAGCTAGTCAATAGTGAGCACAATGTACGATTTTCATCATCAAGTTATCGAGTCTGTGGTTTTACATCGAAGTCGTCCTGAATTCTATGTTATTGCTGATTGACTAATATGTTTTGATTGGATTCGAATCAGTCATGGTAAGTAAGCATATGTGGATCCTCAACAAACAGCCTAAATATATAGCAAATAAGATAAGCTTATGCACAATAAATTAACTATGAGGATTAACAACAATGGAATTCAACACCACATGTTTCAGTCAATTTTGAGATTCTACAGTTAGTTGGATGTAGGTAGGTAGACTGAATTTCAGAGATGATATTTACTCTGTTGCTAAAACCGAATTTCTGTGTTGTTATATACTTTATAATTATGAGTATGAATTCCATCTTCATGAATGAAAAACCAAATTGGCCCAGACGTAAAAACGATTGGAGAGTTTATTTTTTAATAGTGAGATTTTGAGATTTAGTTCACAAAGTTAATGACAAGAATATTCTTGTACAAAAGAGAGAGCCCGACCGTAGCTGCTACCTTGACACTCCGTGGTCGGGCTTGTCTATCTTGATGACCCAACCGAGTTATATTGGCTGGAACATATGTTCTTGAAGGTTCTACCATGCCAGGCAGGTCGATTGGGGAACGATGAGACTAAAAGCAACTACTCAAGGTCTGAGGGCGAAGTCGTACTGCTGACTGTAGAGAGGTGTGACAGCAAAAAGGTGTTTCCCTCGGATAACCAGCATCTGCAGCGATGCTGCCTTCTCACAAGGAAGGAAGGGTTAGAAGAGGTCGACCCTAAAAATGTCACACCTCACGGATTTCCGTCTCCGTCGGTAAGGGTGCCCACTAAGGGCTTTTAAGAGCGGAGCTAACACTCTAAAAACCTTCATAAAGGGGCCGTGCGTGACCGGCCTCAAGCCGTTGTCCCTTGGGCTCTGCGGTCGCGCACCCAGGTCTCTAAGACCGACACTAGTCTACCTTCTTTTTCAGGTCCCTCAAGAAACAACCTTCCACAGTGTGGGCAGCCGGGAAGAAGTGACAACCGCCCTTATACCCGTAACAACACACAAGAAAAAGAACGGTGATTGTTTTAGGAATTAGGAAGACGTATACATCTAAATTAAAATGTATCATAAAATAAAGAGAGAGAGAGAGAGTGACCAACCTCCATTCCTCGTATTGTATTCACCGAACGACTGGAAGGCATAGTTTGTCCAGGAAGATCTGCCTGTTGCTGTTGTTGTCTAACATCATTTGAATTCAATGTAGGCAATAAATTGGAAGTTAATGATCTTAAATTATTGATTAATTCATCAATACCTGGATGACCAGATCGATCACGTAAGTCAACTAGATGAAAAAAATTAAGCAAAAACGATCATCATCACAAACGGTAAGTAGCGAAAGTTATCTATTTTAGAAAAGTTATGCCGAAAAAAAAATCGTTAGATTATTCTAAATTTCCAAGTGAAGTGCTATTTTGAATTTATCAATATGTAATACGGTTTATATTAAATAGACTGGCTTTATTTAATGAAACTGTAAGAAAAAGAGTATTAGGTAAGGATGGCAGATTAATTAATAGACGAAATAGTAAAAGCGCATAAGTTGAGGTGGTTGGGACATGTGTTACGTATACCTAATCATCGACTGCCTCAAGGAGAGATGTTTTGTGCTGTAGGAGTAAGATGGAAGAAAGCTAGGGGTGGCCAGATCAAGTGGACTTTATCATATTGATAGATGTAGGCTATGTGGTTGGTGTCCGCGAGACTAAAGTCACCAACGGTTAGACACCTTAAACGATATGGCTTAGAATCGTTTGCAATAGCGCAGGTGCATCCATTCTTTGTGTTCTCTGTAATTCTAACCTTCTGAATTCCCCATCACCTTTATCTTTCTATTTTTAAGCCTATTTCACTGCATCATACTTCTTGAATAATATCGTCGAAATAGAATCTCTGCGATTACCGCTAATACTTCTACTATCTCTACTACTATGGGACTTAGATTGACAATTCAGTTTCTGTGTATTAATGTGGTATAACAACTTCAACTGATGTACATACATACCTATCAAGTTCTACACTATTGGTGACTGACTTATAATTAAACAATAACCGATATTGCAAATGATAGGTGACATTTTTTTTGAACAACCAGCACCTGCCTACATACAAATCACAACTCCTAGTAAGGTGAGTAAGGTTACTTTTAGAGATCAGTTCAAGTTCTGATGACAAACTAGACTGTTGTCCCACAATGGTAGTCAGATTGCCAATCGTCTTCTCAATTCTGAAAGACATCTAATAATAGTAATTATATAACGAGTTACATATAACACCCCCAATTAAAAAAAGAGAGTTATGATACACAAACATTATACAACTTAATATTAATTCATAGACTACTGACATAACAGAAAGATTTTGTTATGCTTGCCACCAGTTGATATGCTTGAAACTATTACAAGTTCATCTTAGTCGGTAAACGAGAGCGAAGACAAATGATCCAGCGACAAGATAGGCTACTTTAATCCGAGCGTCTCAAGGCCTCACTAAGTAGAGGAAGAAGATTTTATATGGAATAGAAAGTGTATTCTATAAGCACCCAGAAAATATGAGGTTCCACAAGAACACAAATCGAGTTTATTATACATGATAGAAACGTCCTTCGGAGAGCTACAAAAATAACACATCTACCAATAACAGTCAAGAATCTTCCTGGTGGGAAATGTAATCTCGAAGTCAACTGGTCCGCCCATGCTCGAAAACATAAAATCCAATATTAGGATCTTTATCAATTGAGTTCTGAGGATCTAACATCCCCGACAGACTTATGTTCAGAAAAAGCATATATGCTTCGTCAAATTCTTTCCCATACAGTTTTCCAAACTACTCATGTTAATCATTATTAAGACATGATTATTTATATTAATGCACCAGCGCCATTGCGAACGATTCTGAGCCATGTCATTCAAGGTCTCTAACCATCGATTAGTATCATCTCGCGGATCCCAACCAAGTAGTCGACAATTACTGACATGGCTAAGTCCACTCATCAATGACTTCATGGATTTCTGACGAGTGGATGACAATAATCGATGGTTAGAGACCTTGAATGACATGGCTCAAAATCGTTTGCAACGACGTAGGTGCATTCATTCTTTGTGTTCTCTCAAATCCTAATCTCCTGGATTATTCAACACCCCTAGTTTAGTTTTTCTAAACTTATCTCATTGAATCATAGTTCTTGAATAATATCTTCTAATTCTAACCTCTCCGATTACTTTTAATACATTAACTACCTCTTCTACTATTGGATTTGAATTGACAATTACATCTGTGTGCTGATGTGATATGGCAACATGAACTGATGTAGTTACGTACGAAGTTCTACGTTGCATCTGACTGAATGCCTTCATTGACAATAAATAAATATAACTTACTCAATGCTCTTTCCATACTGGTATTCGTGGTATCAGCAAATATCGGTTGTATTTCATCTTCAGTAAAGCCTAAATTGAACAGTTGACGTATGACATGAGCACGTATCATACTCTGTTGTTGTTGTAATTGATGTGTATGAGGTTGTGAATTCATAAACATACGTTGTGATGATATAGTTGTTGTGGATGCTGGAAAACCGGGAGTAATCGGTGGAGGATAGAAGGCACTCGGAGGTGTACGAAACGCTTGATTTACGCCTCGAATAGAAGGATTTAATGATGCAGGAAACTCTGAGGTAACACCACCGCCACGAGGAGTTATACTTTGATTGGATTGATTAAAAAATCCCCCAGTATTATTCATACTATCCATCATTCCAGTAGGATTAGTTGACCATGGACCTGGAACAGTGGTGCCCAAACGTCGTTGATCTGTCATTGGCCACATACCTTGTACATGGGTACTTGTTGTTGCCCCACCACCACTACCACCAGGTGGCCATCGCATACCAGTGGAAGTGATATTCGGCAAAATATGAGGTGTTGGAGGGTGTTGTTGTTGTTGCAGTTGCTGCTGTTGTTTTCCAGGTAAACGATTCATATTTTGTCCAGGCCACCGAGATTTATTACCGAAATTAATTCCAGGAATAGATGGATCACCTGTGAATAGACATACAACAAAATAATCAATAATATGAAATGTATGGAAATAAATGAAATTCAATAACAAAAAGTGTCAACTTGTACAATATTAATCCAGAAAACAGGAGACTACTGTCTAGCAGACCGTATCCAGGTAGTCTACATCTAAACATGACTCAGTCCAGTTGTCAGTTGACTCATAGATTTTGGTCATGTTTTTGGTTTGGCCACCGTAGTTTTCTTCTAGCCTACCACCCTCCACCATGCATCATCGCTCGCCGAGGCAGTCGGTGATTAGGTG